CCGCGGCCTCTCCCGCCGCGGAGCACAGACTCCGGACGCACAGGCTGAGCGGCCATGGCTCACGGGCCCAGCCGCCCCGCGGCACGCGGGATCCTCCCAGACCGGGGCACGAACCCGCATCCCCTGCATCGGCAGGCGGACTCCCAACCACTGCGCCACCAGGGAAGCCCTGCAGGAACCTTTTTATCCTATCCTTCCTTGAGCCTTCTTGGCACAGGAGAGGGAAAATGCAGTGAGAATTAAATGCAACATCCCCATAAATTATCCTTTGGCCCACAGCCCTTTGGGGTGATCCTTACCATAGCCCCATGTTGGAGGCCAGACTGGTCTTAAGGGTCCATTTGAAGAGGAGGAATCCGAAATCAAGGAAGTGACCATGTAGTCAAGTTTATGCAAATAATAACGGGCCGGATCTGGACTCAAACCAGGCTGTCCAGACCTCTCTGTCTGCTCCAGCTCCCCTACTGAGTCAGTCTGTTCCCTCGGAAGTTCACTAGCCCATGGGATGGAGGTGGGGGAATCTACTGAGGGCCAAGCAAGGTAGGTAATGGAGGTGGAGAGAACCAGGTAATATTTCACTTACCCACCTTCTTTTCAAGTAATGAACGTTACAACTGTTCATTAACCAGGGCCGCGTCAGCCCTATAGCACCAGGAGTTAAGGGAGAGTCGCGGAGAAAAGGGACAAAGAGGAAAAGGCTTTTCAGAGAAAAGGCCTTGAGAGAGCTGCACACAGACAGACCTTCAAGGAGACACGCCCACCTGGTGACGGGTTAGCAGAGTCTCCCTTAGGAAACAAAGCCACGTTGTGATTTTCTCCAGCTGCGTTCAAAGATGAAGAGATACATGTAATCTGGGAGTGAATCCAGTCACTATCAAATTAATATTAAAATATTATATTATAGATTCCCAGAGAGATTGACGGGGGCTGTGTGTGCGTGTGTGTGCGTGTGTGTGTGAGAGAGAGACAGAGACAGAGAGCGAGAAAGAGAGAAAGAAAATAAAACAAAAATAAAAACTCTGTGAATCCAAGAGAGAAATACTATTTTACAGCCACAAGAACTAAGTACCTGGGGCAAATGTCCATCTCCTGCCAACAGCACAGAATTCATTATAACCTTTAACCAGAGATTAAATATGCAAACAGGTCGTGGGCAAGCCCTTGGCAAATTATAAGTGAGAGAAAGTTTTTCTCCCAAGATATACCCTGCCCGCTCACCCACTCACCCGCTGTCCACCCCACCCCTGCAGTGTCATTGCCGTGCCACACAGGGGTCACCACAGCTTGCTGAAGTCCCTGATCCCAGGCACCTGCTACAGCTTGATGACAATAACAGTAACTAAAATGTACACAGACCTTTACAGTTCACAAAGCCATCCATTCATTTAACAAACTCCTTTAACTGGAAACTCAGTCAGGATAGGCTTGGCTGCGCTGGGTAACAGACCTCACCAATCTGTCACGTGACACAACAGGAGTTTATGTCTTAGTCTACTGTGTGTCTGGGTGACTCTCAGGGCAGTGGCCTCCAAGCAGTGGCTCAGTACCTCCATTTCATAACACACTGCCATGATGGATGAGGCAGGGCCAGGCAGTCCTCGAAGGTCTTGCACTGGTAAGTAAACGTTTTGGCCCAGAAGTAACATGCTTCACCTCTGCTCCCAGCCCCTTGGCCAGAATTAGTCAGTGTCCCTGCCTAACTGCCACAGGGATGGGGAAAGATAATCCTTTTGTGAGCTCAGAAGAGACAGAAAGCAGGTATGGATAAGCGCTAGGCTCCTCCACCACTGGGGCGAACCTGGATGGAGGTAGGTGCTCACTGGGACACTTAAGTCAAGTGCATCAGGTGTTGGGGGAGGGGGTCCAGCAAAAAGAAGTTCTCCAAAGGAGGCAGCATCAGCACTGGGTCCCCAAAGGTGAGGAGATGATTTCCAGGCAAAGCTGAGTCCGTAGGCAGTTTGCCGAGGAACAGGGAGGTGGGCAGGAAGGTTGGCTCAGAGGAAGCAGATGGAGTATTCGCAGAGGGAGATGCGGGGTTGGGGAAGGGTTCTCCTGAGATGGGAGAGACTTTCTGGGGCAAATGGCCAAGGGAGCAGGGAGGCTGAGGAGCCAGAGAGAAGGGCCCTGAGGAGGAAGACGGGGTGCGCCAATCCTCTGTGCAGGAATCTCACCCAGCGCTTCCACCAGCCCTGAAAGGCTAGCACGACTATTTCTACCCTACAGATGGAGAAAACGAGGCCCTCCCAGTTGTGACTTGTGCCTTCCTTTATTCACTTAGTACCTGACGTAGATGAGGACAAAAGATGATACACACATGATCCCTAACCTCCAAGGTCACATAATTAGGAGCAAGAATTAGGTACAAGTGCTGAGAGCTCATTCGGCTGAGAGATCAGAGTAGGGGCTTGATCCATCCTTGCAGGACGGGCTAGATTTCAAGAGACCCCAAGGTGCAGGAAAAGACATTCCTGGCAGAGATCAGGAAGCAGGAAAACCTGTGGGAGTTCTGAGAAGTCACTGGACACAGGGTGCATGAAGGAGAGCAGGGGTCATCTCTAGAGAGGCAGTCGTGTCTGGACTTAGCGGTTCCTGGAGGGTTTTGAGGGCGGCCAGGGGTGGTGGGGCCCCTGGTCCTGGCTCCTGAGTCAGCACCCACATCTTCCCACTTGGGCCTGGAAGGAGGGCCTCAGAGCCCCAGCCAACCCCATCCCAGGAAGGTCCTTCTAGCTCAGGTCCCCTCCAGGGCTCTGTCTACACTGGGAAAGGGCTCCTGAGTGGGCCCTGCCATCCCTCGGGGAGCGGTCCTCTCGGTATCCCCAGCACACCTGGCATGCTCCCAGGGAGCCCCCACGTCTTGTGCTTGGAGGAACCACCCATTTACGTCCTCCCTCTTGGCCAGAGCTCCAAGGCTGCCCCAGCCCAGCATGGGGTGGAAGCTGCTCTATCCCCTCTCTTCCCCTCCCACCTCCTCTCTCTCCCCACTTGAGCCTGTTGGAACCCCAGACTTGGAGCTGAGAGTCAGAAAGTCTGAGTCTCAGGGCAGAACGGGGCAGGTAATTTAAAGGGGCATCCATCCAGGCCTTCACTGTGTTGCTACCCCCTTCTCCTTGCTCTGTGGTCCATCAGCGTGCATCCCCTTCTACAGACACCAGCTCCATAAACGTGACCTCAGAGATCCCAGATGGGGCCCAACATTTGTTTAAACCTTGGCCCTCATTACACCTCACTACCACCAGCTTACGGAAGAGGAAGCAGCGGGTTCGGATGAGTTCTCCCTTGCGTCCCCCACTGCGAAAGACCGAGGCAGGTTTTACGCTATTCCCGTCTGGCTCCTTGACCCAGCCTCCTGTCCATTCACACCGAGATTCCAGAAGGGCTCCTGCAGCCCAGCGTTTCAATAGATCAGGTGTGTTGAGCGCCCACTCACTCTGTCCTAAGAGCTTCACATACGTTTGCACCTTTAATCGTCACCACAAGCCCAGTGAGATGCAATTATCCTGCTGTTTCCCATGAGGAACCTGAGGCACAGCGCACTGTGGTCTGGGGCCCTTTTCTCTCATTTCCACCGAAAGGCGGCGCGGGGCAGGCGCTGGGGTCTGCAGAGCCGCGCCTCGCGGGCGCCATGGGAGCCAGGCCTAGGGGAAGGCGGCCACCAGGGGGCGCCACCCGCCGCGCCGGGCCCGGAGGTGAGACGCCGGGCACCACGCCCCGCCCGCCGGAGGGGCGCGGGGGAGACTGGCTCTGCGTACCTACCAAGCGCGTTCGGGGGCCCCCAGCCGCCCGGCCCCGCGCGCCTCCCGCAGCCCAGCGTCCCTGCCCCGGCGCCCTGAGGCCCGCCGGGCTCCTCTCGCCCACCCCACTCCCGCATCCTGGACACCCCGGGACCGCCCGGGGTCTCAGCCCGCCGGCGCCTGCCCCTGGCGTGTCCTTGAGAAGATTTCCCTCCCCCGCCGCGCGATAAAGCGCCATTTAGTCTGTTTATCTGTATTTTCAGTACGAAAGTGCAGTAAACACATTCAAGAACGAGGAAGGTACAGAAAAGGGTGCCAGGAAGCACTGAGAGGGCCCGCAGGCACACGTCTTCCCCCACACTCTCCGACGTGTCGTGGGCAGGGCGGTTACCCCAGCCCGCCTTGTGGGGTCACAGCCTCCCCGCAGCGCCGCCGCCTGGGAACCATCGTTCTGTGGCTGCAGGGCGCTCAGGTATCCTCCCATCCCTGCTTAACTCCGTTCTCAGAGCACCTCCTGGGGTCTGGCCCTGAGACAGAAGCGGGCACCAGAGAGAAAGCTGTGTCCCATTCAGGCCCTGTCCATCTCGGGGAGTGTCCAATTGCCCATCCTGTCACAGGCTCGGGCATCAGGCAAGTGCCGGGCACCAGGCTTGCGGCGGTGAACAAGACAAATAGAAGCCATTCCCTGGTGGAAGACAGACGTAACCAAGAAGGCACACAAATTGTGTGGTTGAGATTGGCTAATAATTCCAGTTGCAATAGTGCCATGGAGGAGAAGTGCAGACAGATGCCTGCATCGGAATGCAGGGCGAAGGGGGGTATGTGGTGGTATCACAAAGGTGAGAGAGGCCAGTTCCCTAGCGGATTAGGGATCAGGAGTAGGGGAGGTGAACTCTAGCTGAATCTTGAAGGGTGGGAGCAAGTTTGTGGAGCAGGGGCCTTAGAATGAAGGTGTTCTGGGCATGGGGAGCTACAGGCTTGGAGACTCACAGGGGAGAAACTTGTGGTATGTTTGCCTGGAGGGGGGTCGGGGGTGGGTAGCACAGTTACAAGTTGCTGGAGGCGGAGTGTAGCTGGGAAGCAGGCTCTAGAGGGAAGGTGTGCCACGTACCGTCTACACCTCCTTTAGTAACTGGATGCTGCCTGTGGGTAATGGGAAGCCACCGACACGCTTTTAAGAGGCAAGATGCAACCAGATTTCTGGGTTTAAAAGGCTGCTGGGGCTGCACTGTACTTGGGAAAGGGAGCCGGGCTGGCAGAGGTAGGTTCTCAGGAAGGAGGCCTCCTTCCTGTCTTGGTGGCTGCTGGGGGCACTGCTGCTAGAGAAGGTCAGAGCTGAGATGCCCCAGCAGGTCCAGAGCTGAGGGCGGGACCAGCAAGAAGGAGGAGCCTCCCAGGGACCCACAGGCTCCCGGTGGCCAGGCTGAGCTCCCCAGAGTGTGAGGGTTCGCATGAGACCTGCTGGAACGGGTCCCTGCACCAGAATGTGCCTTGTTAAAAAACAGATGTTGGGAACTGGCTGTCTCTGGGCCCAACACATGGGGTCTAATTGGCCCACTTAACATTTGTTTTTAAATTAGCTGCAATCATTGAGAGAGTTTGAATCTCGGGGGTTTTTTCTTGGAAAGACCCTGGGCCAGTACTCAAGTCCTACAACAAGGAACTGGAGCTGAGTAGAGACCCCACCCTTTCAGGTTGTCCCTGTATTCTTTTTTTTTTTTTTTTTTTTTT